GCCTAGTTTAACCCTAGAACGCCTAGGGGGGGGGGTTGTATCAACCCCCCCCCCCCTGAGGTTTTTTCGAAGTGCACGCTAAACGGCTTGTCGTAGCGGGCTGAAATTTTCAATACCCTCTGGGGCAACCTTTGCGCATCTTTTGCCGAAAAAAAATTGATCGGGTCATGTCAGGTCACGGAGTTATGACGTCATAAGAGGTACAGCCTCCGGCCGGATTTTCACAAACTGAGTGCCAACGCCCGAGGTTTCCTGCCGGTGGTACGGACATCGGTTGATGGATCGTGATGAAACTTCCCATGCATGTTGGGGCAAGTATTGGCTATCATATGGTATAAGAAATTTGACCGGGTCAGGTCAGGTCACGGAGCTATGACGTCACAAGAGGAACAGCGTCCGGTACTATTTTTGAAAAGCGCCCGAACCACTATTTTGCTAATTCTTGTCACCTCAATGGGAATATGCAGCAATATTAGCTTCTATAGGGAGCAAATGGACCTCCCAAATCCAAAAATACAATCAGATTTCAGAAATTTAAATTTTGATTTTTCGAATTTCTGCCGCCGACTGTGACCTTGCCGATTTCCGGCGCTCCCAACGCGCCATTTTTAGAGCTAGGGAAACGAAATACATACCAAACGATAGAGAATTGATCAAGGAACACGATAGTGAAGGTTTCAAGTCGATATCTCCCACCGTGTTGCCGCAATCGCCGCCGAAAGTTGAAAAAAGTCTATTTTTCCGAAAATTTGACCTTTGACCGGTCAAAAGTAGGTCAAATGTTGACCTAGGACCAAAAAATATACCACCAATCGCGAGATCTCGTTGAGAGCAATCCGTTGGTTTTTTTCCGCTAAGCTCTACGACCTTCCGTTTCGAAACGCCAGGGGGGGGGGTCGTAATAACCCCCCCCCCCCCTGGTCGTTCGTGTTATGAGAAATGGCCTGGTCGTGCGAGGGTTAAGGCATGAAGTGCCACCCTTACTCATAAGTCTTTGCTCAAATAATACAACCAAAATGCATTTAAAAATTAAGTCAGTATTTTGATAAATAGAATTAACCCAGCATTGTGTAGCCCGCATTTATCCCAAATCCATCAGTACACCAACATTATGTCCCACTCGCGACTACCAGGAACAGCTTGTCGGTATACCCCCAATCCTGTAACGACTCTTATGTTTTGTTCCAGAACCGTCTAATGAGATGAAGTTCACCCCCGTGCGCCGGGATTTAGACCGTGGCGGCTGACGATGCCGTTTTGGGTGTGACAGTGACAACTATGTGTTGCGGCGTGCTGCTGAGATGCCGACGCCGGGTGATATATTCGACTGATTCAGTTGAAATACAGACGCAATTATTACTCATTCACGCAATATCTTTTCATCGCTTTTACCGACAAGCTGAGTTTAAATGCATTCGTCGCACATTTTTGTGTATATTACACCCTATTATAATCACTGCAAGTTCATGAAATGATCACACGCAACGGATTCTAAACATCAACATTTCACATGTACTCGCGATCTCTGGGAGGGTTCTTCTTCCTATACTTGACTCCAGTACTGAAAGAAGGGAAGGCAGTATTAGACTGTGATGAATTAGGACGCGTTGGGATAAATTATATTCACTCAATTGATAAATATTTGCTACATAATTAAGAACACAAAGAGAGCAGGCATACCTTTAAAGTTTACCAATCAGCGTCTAATTGACGATGATTCGGGAAATCTGCCTAATACGTTGTCCTCTCTTTCAGTGATATTATTTTTTACCTTTGTTAGATTCAAGAATGCATTACTTACTGTGGGAACCAGATGTGTTTGTTGGTGTGCGTCAGCTTCATGAGCTCCTCGCGGACCTGTTTGTCGGAGCGGCGGACAAACATGTGTTTGTAGCGCTGCACCCCCTGCAGGGAGGCGTCCAACGCGTCGGTGAAGGGAGCCCGCAGCGCCGTCTGGTCCGTCAGGCTCTCCTCCGCCGGCAGAGGCTGCGAACGGCGGTGAAGGGTCGTCACGCTGACGCCAGGCCACATCAGCAGCAATCAGCGCAACACACATGTTACGATTAGGCTGGAGTCTCCGAACAAGTAGATGACATCGATGCATCGGTAATGCGCGACGGACGAAAACCACGAAAACAGCTGGGGTATTTCGCCACACACCGTTTGCTGGGGGGGGGGGGGGCGTTAAACGCCCCCAGCCGATAACTCGAGAACCGATAGGCGCAGCGAAACGCACGAGGCGGCAAACGAAAGAGCGCGACGAGACGCTTCAGATGAGTACTTTAAAGTTGAATTTTGAGGTCACAGGTCGGGTCAAGGTCAGGTCAAACACCTGAAATCGGGCTTTCAGCAGCATGGACTTCGGGACTTCGCAATGGGCGCCTCTCGTCACAAACTCTGTCAAAACGGTGCACAATCCATCATATAAAGCCTACAAGAGTGTCAGCTCCATGTAGTGGTCAGTCAAGCATAGGTCAAGGTCAAAGTTAGGTCAACCGGGTAGGCACATATCCCCGAAAATCAAAACTGATATTCGCAGCCTGTGGCACATGTTTTATGGGTAACTTGGGGCGTAGAACACGATGGTGACATTCATTTTATCATATGTGTACGTGTTTGGCTCAAAAAGTTCAATTTAAGAAATACATGTATCATGGTAGCGAAGTAGTCACGAGAAATTGCCAAGATTCAGTTCAAGATTTTGGAAAATGCGGAACGATAATCAATAATCGAAGATAGCCATTTGATTGTTCATGGTATTGGCAGTCTAATGGCGTTTACGGCATGTCTGTATGTCTATTCTATGATTTTATATGATTGTTTGAACATATGCCGTTTTTGGTCGAAAACTCAGAAATCATGACGTCACTAAAGCCTCGATATCTCAAACATTTTCCGACCAATTTTTTTGAAACTTTGTCACAATACACTTCAATCAATTCCCTACAGGTACCCAAAATTTGGCGCGCCTGCGGCGCGCCGTTTTTATGCTATGGCCCGGCGAAAAAAGTGGGGGCGTTTAACGCCCCCCCCCCCAGCAACTCGCGGGTTAAATAGTGTCTCACTTCTAAAAATAGACCTTCAGCTGATTCTGAACGAGTTCATGTCTGCTATGCTACAAGTCATTTTTCCAATGGATGAATCGTTCTAAAATGGACGAATAGTTGCAAGTGGTGAGTTCTCACCTTTGAGCATTCGTAGGGAAAATCCTGTTCTGGGTGCCAGCAGACGATTGTGGAGCCATTGCTGGATACCACAACTTTGTGCTCCTCAGCCCTGTGATGTACACAAAGAAGATGACAGTGATGACAGCAGTGGTGTGGAAGGGTCAATGGTAGGTACTTTTATGGACACCCTCGATTTTCTGAGATGCCAATACTGTATGCCAATCACTGCATTGAGTCATAATTTTTGTCACAAATCGCAGAAAAGACAAAAAGTTGTTAGCACAGCTGTGACAACCTACAAATCTGTATAACCATAAAGTAACTTACCCAGATGTAAGTGGTGAGCTGGCACTAGAAGCACATCGATGCAACAAATCTGAAAATATTCCAAATGTTTCAAACTTGTGTTGGTGTGGGAATAGCTGGATCAAGTAGTCACACACCCCTGATGGAGGTAACTTTTTGCATAAAATCTAGTTCTAAATCCTTCACAGGAAGAAATACTCAATTTTCTCATGAATTAGGTATTGTGCAAGCCATTGACATTTATTAAGAGCAGTAACATAATAGATTCAAATTGCAGTCTAACTTTAAGCAGTCAACTAGGATGCAAAAAAAAAAAATGCAGGATTTCACACCCACAAAGTTTGAGGTGTAGATATCGCACAAACTGCTGAAAATACTCACATCTTGAAAGGGATTGACTACTGAAAATTCGAGCAGAAGATGTTATCAGGGCCATTTCATACCAGCAGTTATTTCCTAAATGGGATATTCCTTATGACCTGAAAAGAGGAAAAACTGTCAAAGTTGGTAGATGTGGATCAATAGCTTGAACTGACATCTACTCATCTATCCATGCTTTCGACTGTGATTGTGCCTAGATAAGACATCACAAGCTAAATAAAAATATTGTCTGTCTACGACTCTACGTGCTGAATTTTAGGTCCTTTATGAGCTTGAGATGAACCAGCAGAGCAGTTACAACTCTAATTGAGGACCATGCTACTGAATACTTGTTGCAGACAGGACCAGTGGCTGGTGCTGACTGCAGACTGTGCTGCGTAGATGCCAATAAACCCACAATTCACATAAGTAATATATGTTTATCATTACACACCAATGCACCCTGACCCATTGTCAAGCCTAAATGCCCTATAACAGCCTAGTACTGGGCTTCCTCAATCCTCTTGGTCACATAGGTATGCACATTACAATGTTCCATGCTTTTGCCATGCATCCCATTATGACTCCTTAGTGCCCTGCCCATTATGATATTTAGGCCCTGAATGTAGGTATAAGCAATTAAATATGTATCATAACGGATTTTCTTAGTCGCTCAGCATTGAAATATGTTTGCTTTAGGCATTTATTTTGCTCATGTGTCCCTGATAAATGAATTTCAGACCAAAATTTCAGGCAACGTGCATGGCACACCTTATTCACCATTATCAACACCGTACTGCAGCGTTGTAGGTAGGTTGTATGTAACCAAGGCTATCACTATATAAACCGTTGTAACCAAGGCTATTATTTGTAACTGTAGCTGCGAATATCTTTGATTGCAACGGTTGAGTTCTTATTTATTGAAAGAAAATTGATACATTTGATCCGTTTCGACTCAGATAAACAATGAAAGTGGTGCGAACCCTTCGTAAATGAGATTTATCCAAAAGTGTTGACATACAAAATTGCAGTCTTTTAAGAAATATAACTCGATCCTTGATCAAAAGCATTATTATGACGTCACCAAAATCTGTTTATGTTAGCAACCTTCTGATTGGTCGAATCGGAGTTTGGCTGACCAATTGCTCTTCGACTTTTTCGTCCTGGACCAATCACGAAACGTTTAAGTGGATCAATACAAATGCTTCCAAGATGGCAGCCCCGTAAGTGCGTCGTTTACGTTGCATTTCGTGGCGCTCCGCTGCCATGATGATTTGGATGACGTGAACGGGCGTGAATTCCATACGGTTTGATTTCAATAATCAATGCTCCAGTCGGGTATTTCTTCGGCAGGTGAGATACACCAAAATTCACTGTTTTGTGGAGGGTTTTTGGCGATGTCCCTCTCCCTTGTTCCTGTGACCAAATCAGCGTGATGTGTCACATTTGCTGTTTGTCTCGTCATGCTAGAGAACTTAGGTAGGTACATATGTAGTTGCATGAATGTTGGTGTATCCACTTATAACAGTTACCTTAACAAATGCCAAGGCCTGTTAACAGTACTGAACGTTATGTAGGTATAGACTTTCGGAGTTGTCATATCCGAGTTCTGTTTCTTGCCACTTATCGGCCAGTCCAGTAGGCGGAACTATGGTCAAGCGTACCCATTTTCGGGAACGCATTTTCGTTCCCATCTTTGGGAACGATAAACCCAAATATGGGAACGCCATGTAGGAATTATTTTAAACAAGAAAAAGAACCGTTAAATGACGTCCAAAAAATATAAAACGATCGTGAACCGCCTGATAATTTTGTCTCAATATTGTTGGGAAAGAGTTTGATATTGTAAGGCCCATCGTAGTTTCAAATCGTTCCCCTATTTCTAAAGAAGTCCATCATCCGGGCCGCGAGCCCAAATTTGGGAACGCTCTCGTACACTGGCGCTGCAAGCGTTCCTTATTATGGGAACGGCGTACCCAAAATTGGGAACGATTTCACTGACGCCTTTCAGGGGCTCTTTTCATTACCGTAAAATGGGGTGTTAAGGGACAGTGGGGTGTTAAGGGACAGTTGCATGGGAAAAACTTTGAGTCATATTAACTTCCTAATTTGAGAAGGTTCAATAAAAACTTCAGTGTGGTAGTTGACACTGTTTTGCTCTTGACCATAGGACAAAATGCTATGGTTTTTCATGCAAGTGATTTGGTTCAAAAATGGATTTGAAAATCATGCTACATTTTCACAAAATTGAAACATCTCCAAAACTCTGTGTGTACCTCATAAACTAGTGGGTGTACAGGGAAAATGAATGCATAGGTGTATTGTCACATGTATTGCACATGTTTCCTGAAAAAACTTGTGCAAATCCACCCATTCATTCATCATCCTCTTCCTCTTTTCCGGATACATGCATATTTTGAGGTGGATGTGGGATGCTAAGGGACAGGGAAGAAAAAATAAAAAAATAAAATCTAAATATAATTTAATCAAGTTTTCTTTCAGTATGCATGGAAAACACCAAATTCCACATAAAATGCTGGCAAGTTCATGCTTTTATCTCTAACACATCTTAAGTTATGTAACAAAACATCTCAACACTCTCTTTTACAATGATGGGTCAATGGAGACTGATGTAGGTAAATGTGATGTCATCATAAAAGGCCAAAACAAAGAGGGCAACATAATGACAAGTGACTAGCTTCAACATGGGTTTTTATTGATGACAGAAGATTACTTTTTGGTTCTGTTTACCTTATAATTAGCACATTTTCCACAAGCGTAAACAGCATTACACGTAATTGGCTAAAAAGGTCATTAGTGGTGAATGAACCTGACTTGTTTTGTGACAGAATATGCAAAACATTTCAATAAATGAATTGTGTGCCCTTCCACACCCCAATTGTGGGCATTTGATGACCATTTCTTGGAATAATATAGGTGTCCCTTAACACCCCACATTGGGGTGCTAAGGGACAGTGATGAAAAATAATAAAAAATAATATGCAGGTATAAATCTTAAAAACTTTAATGTGGCAGGCATGTAAAGCACCAAATTCCACATAAAATGCTGACAATTTGATGCTTCTATCTCCAACCCTTCTTGAGTTATATAACAAAACACCTCAAAACTGTCCCTTAACACCCCATTTTACGGTAACAAGCATCACGTCCAACGCCGCAAATTATTGTGAACGTAACAATCATCAGATGACCTTTCCGGCAAGACCGTCGCATGTTTCGTCCGGTCTTCTGCGCTTTTATTCCCGTCGATCTCGCAGCGGGCACGCCCCCCTCTGCAGGATTTCGTAATTCACAACGCTCAGCCGTGCGCTCAGCGATGTTCAACAAGGTCTTCCATACCTATATCCACACTCCGCGCCGAGGGTGGAGACATGTCAAGCACCTGTCTGTTTATCACCGATAGTTGACGAGCACAAGGAAGTATCCAAAAGTGGGAACGCTGAATATGTTACACCCGCAAAACACCTAGTCCCATGGAAAATCTAGTTTTTTCCTTTCTTAATGAGTGTAAGTGGCAAAAGGCCTGGTAGGATGGGCACGAGGAATGATCGAAATCAGCATAAAAATTATAAATAAGCCACACAGAGCGACCTATATAAGAGAAATTCCCCCAAAACGATCATGCTTAGAAACACGGAAGACAAAAACCACGCTCATGACGCTCCTTATAAAACAACGCTAAACAGCTAGCATCCAAATAAAATATGTCTTTCCGGACTGATAAAATACAGCTGAATAATTTTAAACCACTGAAACTGAGTTTACAACAGTAGTTCGGTAAAATCACTGACGTTCCACGCGGTCGTGCGCCTCGACACCAAAAGTCAACAATATTACCTCGGGACTGTCCGCGTGTTCGCTTGCATATGTCAGCATCTGGTGTCACTAGGACGAAACTTCATAACCAGGCGAAAATTATTATACTTGACCTCAAAATGTAAAAACGCTTCATTTTCCTTTAAATTGCATGTTAAATGTAGTATAACCCATGTTTTCACCATTCCGCCATTTCAAAAAATCATTAAAAATATCATTCGACGGTCAATTTCCTTGTTCAACGGTCAGATTAAAAATAATTTTATAGAGATTTAGTAGATACTTAAATTAGCGTGCACTTTTTTGAGACGTGATGCACTTATGAGTTTTAGTGGGCGAACGGCCGAAAAATTACCTTCCGTTCTCATAAATGGGAACGCCCGTTCCCATATTTGGGAACTCCGTTCCCAAAAATGGGAACGTTCCTATATTTGGGTACTCATGACCATAGTTCCACCTACTGAGTCTGCAAAACATGGCAGGGAGCTCGACAAGATTTCCGGGGCAGACAAAATCCTGCCCCGAATCAATGCTGAGTCAGAGGCAGCCCAATTGCCACCCCTAATGATGCAAATAATGTAGCGATATAATGATGTAGGAAGCAGTGAGAAGCTGAGAAAATCACTTCTGTGTGACTGTGAAAATTTTTTATCTTCTCCACCAGATTTTCCTGTTTCTGCCCCAATATTTCTGAAACCTGCCCCTATTTCTGCCCCGACCTGTGGTGTCTGCCCCGACGAGATCTCGTCGAAGCCTGCCACGTTTTGCACACTGGCTTATCGGTCAATCAATATCAAATATAAAGTATATCAAATATAAATCAATACAGGTCAAATTTTCATCAGGCTGATGCCACTGTATCTCCTATCATCATCATCATTTTCTTTGACAGTGATGCTTTAGCACAGCAGTTCTTTTTGCATTGGCATGGTTGGGGCCCAACACTGTTCCATACTTTGTCTGCAGACTGCACATATACCTACACTGTGGTGTGGACCACTCCTCAGTAAATCTGCAATCTGCATTGCACCACACACTGGTTTAGTTCCTCCAACACTGACCACATTTGTATGGAAGTGTGACAAGCTGCACCAGCCTGCATGAACAATGCCAGCTCTCTGCATCAAATAGAGTGTAGAAGCTGGCTTAAACACTTGTCCATCTGTGGCAAATGCCACAGTGGTATCAAATGGAGTACTCACCAACTATATTAAAAAAAAAAAATGCTTTATAAAGGAATCCTAGCACCTGCCTGACACCAACAACACCTGGTGCAAGTTAACAGTTACATAATACACATAGCACTGTAGTCAAGTTTTGCCACTGGGGGCCCTTTACTGCTTCACCTGAAACTTGCACAGGACCATACCACAGTCCATGGTTGCTTCTTACACAAGTAAATCAGCATTGGATGCCTGTTCGATCACTAGGTACTTAATGTCAGAAGAGAAACCATACTATTAAAATTGATATATGTCATACTGTTAATTGTCACAATGAGAAGCCACTTTGCAGTGCATGTCAAGACTATGTGAATATATGAGATTATGAATATGTGAGACTACTTGCCTTGGAAACAGACATTCATGTCTCCTGCTTTGATGTGAAAGCAAAGTTGCAGCCATAGTTGCAGCTTTGCAGCTATAGTTGACCTTGATGTAGCTTGGGATGTCAGTATCACTTAGATATTTCCAGTTTCCTGCATTTTTTCTGTGAGCAAATGACTATAATACTAGCCATATCATGGCTGTGTTGTTACTTGTATACATTCTACCTAACACATTCAGGAAACTTGTGTTCAAAGTTTGGTGTGCTGATTGATGGTATTATTTTTCCTGTTTAGCTTTATAATAGTTCTCATCATGTTTAGAGCCATTTTTTATGTTTGTCATAAGTGGGCTCAGGTGCATAGGTGTGTGCCCAATCTTTTTTGAATAACCTGACTTTTCTTTTCAGACTCAAGTCTAATGGAAACATCTAGCCCTGAATGCAAAACAAGTAATACCCAGAAGAGAGCATCTAGCAAGTCGGAGCACGCTGCCAGGCGGAAGAGTTCTGTGAGCAAGCTGTTCCCTGCCCGACTGGGCGATGTGAGACGCGAGGAGATGCTGAGCGACAGTCGGCCGTCAGGCGACTCGACGGCGCGGCCGTTCCCATCCGACGGACGCCACGCCATGGGACCGCACGGTGACGGCCGGCCGCCGCAGGCCGCCCCGCAGGAGTCGGCCGTGAACGGCGGCTTCCAGCAGGCGGTGCTGAGCGACCTGCGCCGCTTCAGCGCCGAGAGCGAGCAGGAGCTGCGCCAGGACGCGCGCGTCAAACAGGAGCCGGCCGAGGCGCCGCCGCCGCCGCCGGCCGCTGGCCAGAGAGAGTGCCATGTGAAGACGGCGCACCCGCACAAGCCGCCCACCAGCCACCGCAGGGAGTCGGTCTCTGAGTCTGCGGCGCAGCCGGCCGCCGCCACCCCCGAGCGGCCCGCCGCCACGCCGGAGCGACCGGCCGCCACCCCCGACCGGCCCTCCGTCGGCTACCACCCCAAGCAGGAGATGAAACCCGTCGACCTGTTCGGAGCATGTGATGCACCAAAGCCTGAACACAAACACCCAGTGCACGTCAACGGTACCTCATCCTCCTCCTCCGACCGGCACCGGGACAGCCAGCGGAAGAAGGACCACCGCCGCGACCGCGACAAGGGCTGCCGCCGGTGTCACGACCGGAGCCGGCTGAAGCGCTACAGTATCGGTGTGCAGTGTCGGCGTGATAAGGACCGGCTGTCGGGCGGCGTGTCGCGGCCGCTGGCCTCCAATTACACCACACACGGCCTGGAGAAGTACAAGTACGGCCGCTATATGCACGTGGAGGTGGACCCGAACGGCGGAGCCTCCGTGGTGCACATGTACCAGGACCAGATCGCGGGGTTAGATAAGGAGCAGACGCAGCAGCTGGTCAACGAGTACTTCCAGGTCAGTGGCTTTTCAGTTGTAACCTACTGTCATGAAGGGAGGGAAAGCGTTGAGTTAATAATTCGACGACATTGCCCATTGTGGTTTCCATAACACTCATTTTGAGTTCCTTGCTATCTTCTTTATTTTCCTTTATATTGCTTTTGTAGAAAGTAAGTTACTTTACATATTAATGGTACCGATAGAGTAGCCAGTATTACTTCTCAAGTTTTGACTTTTGTGACACAACGAAATCCGCCCGGCGCCTACCTTGCAATAACAAACAAAAATAAACTTCCTGGGTTGTAGATTTCTAGTCTAGTCAGCTATCTACAATATAAGTACAATCAATCAATCATTTCAATATCTGCCCTAAGCTCAAGAAAATGCACCAAAACTCTCATTTGCCGGTCACTGCCGTTATGGGTCAGAGTGGCTCGGCGTAATTGTATGACCCTATCGGCTCGAGTTGCTCGCTGGGGCGTGGCCCTTTGATGTATACACTGGTACCGTACGCTGATGCCTGCCCCTTTGTTTGTACAGGAGGTGTTTGCCGAGGACCGGCACGGCTGGGCGCGCCACGTGATGGGCATTGTGCACGACGCCGCCCACTACCTGCCCGACCTGCTCGACCACATGGGCGAGACTCACCCCAACATCACCGTCAAGAACGGCATCATCGGCAGCAGCAACAAGGCGGACATCGAGACGCAGACCATGGCATCCTATGTCGAACAGGTGGGCTCGCCAACACGGCTCGAACTAAGTGTGGGTGTTGGTAAAGTTTGTGGGGGTACATGGGACGGAAAGGCTGTTAATAGCTACTGATGGCTTTAGTTGCGCTCACTGTCACGAACTTGTGCAGTATTTTACACAACTACTGCGCATTAGCAGCTCAAATCCTTCGCTGTGCCATTGAAGGACGATATTGAGTCCACTGTTAACCCGCGAGTTGCTGGGAAGGGGCGTTAAACGCCCCCACTTTTTTCGCCGCGCTGTAGCTTAAAAACGGCGCGCCGCAGGCGCGCCAAAATTTAGGTACCTGTAGGAAATTGATTGAAGTTCATTGTGACAAAGTTGGAAAAAAATCGGTCGGAATTTTTTTTTAGATATCGAGGTTTTAGTGACGTCATGATTTCTGAGTTTTCGACCAAAAACGGCATATGTTCAAAAAATCATATAAAATCAAAGGATAGACATAAAGACATGCCGTAAACGTCATTAGACTGTCAATGTTATGTACAATCAAATTGTTATCTTCGATTTTTGATTACCGTTCTACATTTTCCAAAATCTTGGACTGAATCTTGGCTATTTCTTGTGACACTTCACGACCATGATGCATGTATTTTTTAAATTGATATTTTTCAATCAAACACGTACTCGTGTGATAAAATAAATGTCACCATCGTGTTCTGCGCCCAAAATTACCCATAAAACATGTGTCATAGACTGCGAATACCCGTTTTGATTTTCGGGGGTATGTTCTTACCTGATTGACCTGACCTTGACCCTGACCTATGTTTGACCGACCCTACATGGATATGACACTCTTGTAGCACTTATATGAAGGATTGTGCACAGTTTTGACAAAGTCATTGACGAGAGGCGCCAATAACGAGGTTCTGAAGTCCATGCTACCGAAAGCCCGATTTCAGGTGTTTGACCTGACCTTGACCCGACCTGTGACCTCAAAATTCAACTTTCAAGTACTCATCTGAAGCGTCTCGTCGCGTTCTTTCGTTTACCACCTCGTGCGTTTCACTGCGCCCATTGGTTCTCGAATTATCGGCTGGGGGCGTTTAACGCCCCTCCCCAGCAAACGGCGGGTGGCGAAATACCCCAGCAACTGCCGGGTTAAAGCTTTGTACTTTCGCTTCAGTCACTTTTTACCCGAGAGATACTTCGCTAGAGATTCGTTGATCACTTCAAACATGGAACAGTTTGGCCTCATCCTTGAGAGCTGCGGTGCATTTTACATTGACGAAACTGGATATTGAACTTTGCCCTCAAATTACTTACAGTGTTAGTGGGCTGAAAAGCAGCAGCTGTCACGCGAAGCGTGACACACTTCCATTTGTCATTGTGACGAATGTCCATGACTCCCACTGCCATAGTTTCCATGACAACCAAGTGGTTACACAACCAACGTTCTCGCCGTTCTGCCTTTTGTACTGGAATGCTCATCCGACTTTGAATGACTTTGATGTAGTACATCAACAGTATTATGCAAGGGAATGATTTCGGATGTGTATAACTTGAAAATTACATATTGAGATAAAATGAATGTTTGAGAATAATTGGAAGCCTTTCTGCAAACTCCTAAATATGTAATTAAAGTGGGCTTAATTTGTAACTGTTCCTGACGACTTTCCTGTGTCCGTTCGTCAGGTGCACAAGCACTATGCGCGCGGCACCTACCGGTACGGCCCGCTGGACCACATCAGTCTGGTGGGCACTGTGCACGAGGAGTGCGGCGGCTACTATCCGGAGGTGCTGGAGCTGTTCGAGCGCAACCCGTTCCTGCACGCCGTGATGCCCTGGGGCCCGATGTCGGCGCTGCAGAACATGGACCCGCGCCTCTCCAACGACGGTCCCATCCTGTGGGTGCGGCCCGGCGAGCAGCTCATACCCACCATCGAGCTCGGAAAGAGCCCCTTCAAGCGGAAACGGTGAGTGGTGAGACGTGAGAGAGTGGGGAGCGCGTGATTTAACTGCTGTGGCACACAGGGGATGTCATCTGCCACAGAGGATTACCCCCTGAAGAACGCAGAAGTGACTTGCGTGGGTGGAATCCGATAAATCCAACCATGCTAGTTATGACGTAACCCCTGTCCAAATCGCAACATCGACCGGCAGCTGAAATATTATCCGATTTTGTCACCTGTACGGTCCCCTCGCCATGAGTCTTTCTGAGCGACTGCCCTGCCAATATCTGGTGTGAGGTATTTCCCAGTCTGATGCAAGGGCACGCCAGTGGTATTTGCTACCAGTCCACGCTAAGCTGACGTAACAGTGACGCTGACTCATACATTCCGACGTCAGATTTGTGGAGCGAATTCGGTAAACATTGATGTAACAGTTATAGTACAGTCCTGTCATGTTACGGTTTTAATGCCATGTGTTGCGGCTTAAATAAAGGCAACGCTTACGTAATGCTAATTACTTAAGGCAGCATTGATCATTTGTTCTCTTGGTTATCAGGGTAGCGCGCTCGAGGCTAGTGCAAGAGTCGATTCTGCCGACGACTGTTCGTCCTGTCCTGATGTATGTCACCTTGCTCTTCAGCAACGCGGGCATCAACGAGCTGCGTAATCTGCAGTACCTGCCGCGCATCTCTGAGGCGCGCGAGATCCTGTTCGAGGACCGGACCCGGGCTCACGCGGACCACGTGGGTCACGGGCTGGACCGGCTCACCACGGCAGCCGTCGGTACGTATCTCCAAGGGCCGTCAGCGGGAACAGACGGAAGGATCGTTAAATGAGCAGGACTTAGGTCGAAGGTGGCGACTGACGGATTGCCGAGGTTTTTGTGGTTCAAAGTTGACAGGCTATGGAAATCGGTCTTGAGGTCTGTTTTTCAACATTGCCTGTTAGTTCTCGCTCCTAAGTTTACCCTCTCCCCGTATGCGACACCGGTTACAAAAAAGCGTTTCCCACATCGTCAATGATTCGAACATCATCAGCCGCTATTGACGGTCGGCTTCCTAATGTTTTCCTTGCGTTCTCTGACCTGTGTTTGTTTTACCGCGCAGGTATTCTGAAGGCGGTCCACTGCGGCGAAAAGTACAAGCACAACCGCGTCACCAAGGACGTGGTGGCGTTCCAGGCGTCGGACTTCAACACGATCGTGGAGAAGTTACAACTGGACCTGCACGAGCCACCCATGTCCCAGGTAAGGAGTGTGTCACTCTGTGTCTCGGGTTATCCAGATTAGGCGAGCTGTATCTTGGACGAGACAGCATGTCAGTCTGTGCGTCTCAGACTAGACAGTCTGTGTGTCGGATGATGTAGCGTGTCAGTCTGTGTGTCTTGGGCCGTGGGTGAGACAGCGTGATAGCTGTAGCTGTGTCTTATCAACTTAGGGCGGCGGCGTAAATTAGTCATGCGTCTCAGTTTAGACATCGTGTTAGTCTGTGTCTTAGGTAACAGTCATTCTGCGTGTAGTCGGGATGATACAGCTTGTCTGAGACAGCATTATTAGTCTGTGTGTCTGGTAAGACAGTGTCATCAGCTTCTCAGTCCATGATCCAGGCGAGACATTGTGTTAGCGTTAATCCCGTGTGAAGTGGTGTGACATCTGTAATTGTCCCAGATGAGACGGCATCGAACGTCCCTTCAGGGCTGTCGTTCTCCTAATTGGACGTCGACGGATAAGACGGAGTTAATTAAACGGGCAAAATCTGTACTTACTGCCTGGAGCTTATCAAATCTGGAGTCACTTGAAACGAGCATTGAATGCAGTGGTGTTGCGAGCAGCTAGCTATGAATGTTTCAGTTGGCGCTCTGCCTTAATTAATGGCGATGTAATATTCTTGTTCAATTGCTGTCGAAAGCAAATTGTTCGTGAATAATAGAAAAAGTAAATGGAGATCTAAGAGCGCGTTACTGTACCAGCTTTCAACTATACGCGCTTCTCCGTACATTAGGGTGCCACTTAATTTCGACTTTTTTAATTTCGACCGGGACGGGTAGCCATATTGTTCTACCTCACGAAAAAATGATCTGTATGAAATTTTATCAAAAAATATCTATATTTAGAGGTGGCTCAATGGGGTCATACTTGGTACATATTGAGAAAACGTATATTGTGAACGGGGATTCAGATGTGTGTCGTGCCATTCCAAGCATGGCCATATTTGAGCTGTAATACGTTTAAATGAATGATAGATGCCTTCCTATTTGTTTCATAACCCCAGTGTTTCTCGCCGCAAACGCGCTGTGACGCAATGCGTGATTCAACCAATGGCCGTTCAGCGTAGTTTAGCTTATTTTGTTCGGTGACGGTAGCCCGCTGCCAGGCGTGCAACTTCAGCTCTTCTCTCGTATTACGATGGTGGGGAAGGGTCACGAGACTGCTGGCACTTACCGGGGTTACATGAGCAAATAAATGCGTATCAGGAATGGTTTTTCTTTGCTGAGTATTGTGATCCGTTTGTAATACGCATTTACTCTGCTCATGTATCCCCCGTTACTGATATGCGCAAGGGGACACTACCAGTGTACGGCCACAGGGCAGGTCTCCGTGTCTTCGTGATGTCAGGGAGAAGACGTGCACGTGAAAAAGATAAGTTGACTGTTTTGCTAAGCCTTTTCAGAACATTTTTCGCTAGCCAGGATCAAATTGACAGGCCGCAGCAAACGCTGTTCAAGAATCCCTAGATGAGTGAGAGTTGAATGATTGAGTGAAAGCGCTCAGTTTTGACACAAGTGCATCGAACACCGGTCTCAATGCAGGAGCGTGCACGATCATCAAGCAGCGGCTTGAGCAGGACTTGCTCCACCTGACTTGCCACAACATTTACGAGTTTGTTCTATAAAGACATTTTCAGCCTGTCTCGGCCCGTCCAGCGGCCCAGACGTTGTTTTGTTTAAGCGCTTCCATAAAAGTGGGCGTCTAGATAGAACGAAGCCATAAACCTTCAAAAACTGTGACATGTCCCACCTCCACAACCCGCGTGATGCTCTTGCACAGTTCCGTCGTACCGTGAGATGCTGGAGCTGGCCATCACTGTCCTCGGTGGTGCTCCGAAACGAGGCATGAAGATCGCTCGCCCCGATATGCTCCTCGTGTGCTGGTTGACCAATGCCATTTACGCTATGAAGTTTTACTTCTTCCGAGCACAATCCCGGCTCACTACGTCTAAGAAGAAGAGCCTCCAACAAATCGTGACCTTTGTGGGAACAACGTAACGTAGTTTTCGGCTCGATTCAATGCACCGCTTCTGGCGTCTGCACCAGCGCAAGATCTCGACTTCCTCAAGTCCCTCCTGGAGTACGAATTGGACGAATTGGTGTTCGAATTGGTCTCCAAGACGATAGCCATTGCCTTCAGCCGTCACCTCTGGTATCTAAATGAGAGGCTGGTCGCCCTCAACTTCTAATGAAGGAGATAACGATCGCTGCTACTAAACGTGAGATGGCTGCATCGTTACGAGAGAAGGAGAGGGCCGAGTAACCCTCCCCCCCCCCCGTCGAGCCCACGTTGAACTTACTATAGCTTCAGTCTCTAGCAAGTCCACGGCAGACTTCGTCATATCACAACTGGCTTCACAAGCTTCTTCAGCATCCTCGGTATGGACACCGACTTCCTCTTGAAGGATCTGATTCCTTGGGAGGTCAAGCCATTCTACGACGCCGCCATGCGCTACATGAGGTCTCTCCACGCCTCTACGACTTCGCGGAACGAGGCATTTTGTTGATGGCCAGGAAATCGATCTGACCCCCACGAAGGATAAAGACTAACAACAGCTCCTCTTGTAGGTCGTCGAGGAGCAAAGACGCAAGCATTCTGACATACGCAAGGCGATCGTAACTTCTAAGTAGGCAAGACTAGCCGACGAATGATGTGTACAAGTGTTGGCTGATTACGGATGATACCGCTTTCTCTTTTCATGGAGTTATGCAGTAAGTTATGCATACCTTCAAAAGAATTATGTGCCTCATATGTACCTATATATCTTAGCTTTAGGTGCTGAAACGTTTCGATAAAGTCTTGGCAGCGTCCAATGTCATTGTGAACATCAGAAATACACGTGGGAATTAAAATTTCGGCAAAGTTGTGTTTTTCACAAAAATGTGAACTTTGACCTGGTTGAGCTACCACTAAATAAACATATTTTCCAAAAATATTTTACACACAACGTTTTCTCGGGTGGCAGAACAGATTGGCTGCCCGTCCCGTTGAAAATTCTCAAAACGAAATTTTAGCCCCGTTTTAGTGCCACCCTACCGTACATGCACAAAATTTCGGTGAGAAATCCGGTTTATCCCCAGAGTCCGTCTCCCTTGTATGCCTGTCGCTCGGCCCCTGTATTTACAGACGGGTAACGTAACAATCGTAAACAATACCCACCTTGCTCAAAACGTCTGTTATGTCCGCAGACCATCTACTGGGTGGAGGACGCCAAGCTGAACCAGATGCGCAGAGACGGCGTGCGCTACTCGCGTATCCGGCTCACGGATAACGACATCTACTTCCTGCCGAGGAACATCATCCACCAGTTCCGCACCGTCACCGCCGTCTGCAGCGTCGGTAAGATCCAGCGCTTGTTCTGTTCATCTAACCGGCCATGCTGTTATAAGAATGTACTCATCAAAGAATATACTCAGGCCAGGGATGATGATCACTACGCCGTGCTTCAATGGCACCGTGCCGAGTGTCTAATGGGAATGCGAACTTTGATGGGTCGATATGATAGGAAATGATGAGATTTCGCAAAAAAATCGGATTTTTTTCGGACGTTTGGGCAGCCTTTTTCGTTTTCGGGAACCTGTTTGACGTTTTGGAATTGTCTTTGAGTTAGCATTAATATCTGGTAGTAACTGGCACAGACGCATGGCTCATTTGTATACGAAATGCTGGCCTTACCTCTGTATAATGATGTGCCTTCTGTTTTTCAGCGTGGCACGTTCGATTGAAGCAGTACTACCCTCCCGAGGACCCGGAGAAGGAAAAGGAGAAGGCGGAGGCGCAGCCGGCGCCGACGCCATCCACGCCGGCCACCCCGCACAAGAAGAAGAAGAAGCACAAGGAGAAGGACAAGGACTGGGACCCGGGCCGCGCGCACGTGTCGATGAAGCCGCGCCAGCCGGCGAACGGCGAGCGCCACCGCGCCTCGCGGACCGACAGCCCGGCCAAACCGTCCAGTCACAGCTCCTCCAAACACTCCGCCGACAAGAGCGAGAAGCCGCGCAGCCACTCGTCCGACTCCAAAGGCGACAGGAACGAGAAGAGCGAAAAGAGCAAGTCGCACAGCTCGGGGACGGCAGAAAAGTCGAAAACGTCGGACAAAACGGAGTCGAAGTCGAAGAGCCATTCTTCGAGCACACCGATGAAGTCCAAGTCACACTCTGGCCACTCTGAAAAGAGCTCGACTGCCAGTCCGGCTCACAAGACCAAATCACACTCATCGGAGTCGTCAGAGAAAAACAAATCTTCTTCTGATCATGGCCACAAGTCAAAGCACGCTTCTTCTGAAGTGGAAAAATCCAAGGGCCACTCTGGTGACTCAAAAACGGCGTCGACTTCCTCCGAGCATATGGAAAAGGTGACTGCACATATCCATACGCCGAAGAAGGCGCCATCTGCCGATTCAACTGAGAAGGCAAAAACGCCCTCTACTCCGGATTCCACTAAAAAAGCTTCAAATGATGACGAGGGCACCAAAGTTCCCAAGAAAGAGCCATCAGACGCGCCGAAGGCTGTCGCTACGGAGGCACCGGAGACGACGGCAACTCCGGCTGATTCGGTCAAGAAAGAGCCTGCTGACCCTGAGGAGGAAACGAAACCCAGCTCGGGTAGTTCATCTACCTCGGCGCAGTCACAAGAAACCGTCACTGCTGACAGTGCATCTATCGCCCCGCCGGAGTCCAGCACTGCCAATGTTCCTGAGGCGACTCGTGGCGAGGTTGCGGTGCCTACGTCTGAACCACGTCGGCAGCGGAGTATTTCGACGAGCTCCGACAGCTCCACCAGTTCCTCCAGCTCCTCATCCTCGTCTTCATCGAGCTCAGACTCTTCTCCGTCCTCCCCGGCGGCTGGTGACGAGTCTGCCGGTGCCCCGGACCGACCGGTGTCTCCCCCGGCCAGTCCGATGCCGGTGTCACAGCCGACCGAGAGTGCCACGTCACAGGAGACCGTGTCGTCCGCGGCAGCTGCCGAGCGGCCGCCCCCGCTGCCGACGAACGACCCGCTCAGTCCCGGGTCTCCGGTGAGTGGTCCAAGTCGGACACAGTCGCAATCGGACTCTGTGGGACAGGCGAGAGTGGACGGCGGTAGTCCTGTCCCGGCGTCTCCAGCGACGTCCGTCGACAGTCCTGTCAAGCGACCCTCAGACAGCGGCAGCCCGGCATCAAAACATCGGGCAGACGGCAGCCCCGCTTCTCAACACCGAAACGATAGTGGCAGCCCTTCCACGAAGCATCGGGTGAATAGCGGTAGCCCCGTCTCAAAGGACCGTGCAGACAGCAGTAGCCCGTCTTCGAAACACCGAGGTGACAGTGGCAGCCCTACATCCAAGCACAAAACCGACACAGACAGTCCGGCTGCCAAGCATCGCCGGTCTGACTCGCACGGCCACTCCTCGAAGCACTCGCGCTCGGACGGCGGCTCACACCGTCCCCGGCCGGAGTCTTCGAGTAGCGGTCACAGCAGCGGTCACAAGAGTCGTCCACCGGCTACCGGGCTCGCCAGCCCGGCGCACAAGCGGCGGCCGGCAGACGGCGACTCGACGCCGGCCAAGCGGGCTCGTATGGAGGGCGGCGCATCGGCGTCAACCCCGCCGCGACCTCCTGCCGACGTGCTCGGCAACATTCTGTCCGGCATGGACTCGCTGAAGAAGTGAGAGACTACAGCGCGTCACGGGGCGGCGCCGAATCGCGGCGGCGCGCGCCGCGAGCTGTTGGGACCTGACGCTGTGTACAAACGGGAGAGAGACTGGCTGACCGGCGCTCCGTAGGGGCGACGTGATGCGGCGCACTGCCTGTCGCATCCGAGCCCAGTGGCCTTCGCAATTAGTCATGGCTCAACATGCTTGGAGGGTGCGAGAAATGAACGAATGATGTGGTTTTCTGCATGTTGTATTTATGTAGGCACCCCTGTAATGTTAAGAGCGCTGTCAGACGCAGCACGCACTTCATCGCGGCCTGCCCGCCGCCGTCATCGGCGCGGCCTTGTTGACTTCATCCCTGCATTATATTGAATTATTATTTCTGACCCTATCGGTTACGTGAAACGTTTTTGTTTCGTTGGGTGGCGAGTCGGTCGGTCGGATCTCTGGTTTCGTCACAGCGAGACGCGGGGGAGAGATGGAGCCGTTTTGTGTCGCTGAGCGGTGCGCGCCGGTGGCGTATGTTGGAATACATCATCTATTTAGTCCCAGGCGATGTCGTTTTTTTCTGGTCTGACTTGAGGGCAGGCGTGCTCGGTCCACCCCCAAGGCACAGATGGGATCGCTGACATTCACTTGGGGCCAGCTAGGATCCGTGTATGTCGCGTTATATAACTGACCTCCTTGGAGTGCGAGTGGGCGGCCCAACATTGCAATACGCTGCAGCACATTACCGGGACATTGTCGCTCTTGCAGGCAGGTGCACTAAAAGTCTGAGCATATGTGTTACGAACTGCGAACAAATCCAATCACAAAAAGGCTTTAGTTTGCTTGTTTGTTAAGGAGTACGGAGCCTGTGTTCTGGGAAGAAGACACACATCTAAAAGTCCTGCAGCTAAATGCATTATAAATCAATTACCCCGCGAGAGCGAGAGTACTGCAAGTTCGCACGAACTGCATTAGCTCAGGCGCATGGAACATGTCATTGGCTCCAGCTGCCTCGGGTACCAGGATGCTGCATAGATGCGCCAGAATTTTCGGCCTCCCTAGACTGGTGCGTATTAGTGCCGTCAGGGAAATTGGGGGCAGAGACGCCATCTGCTGGTCATGACCCTCACCAAATGAGCTCGACATTCATCAGCAGCGTGAGATGTCCCAGCGCTGATCCTTCTGCCTCTAACCAGCCTCCCTGGAACTGTTGATTTAACTAGGCCCCTGAGAGCTGCGCAGCTACCTATGACAGCTACCCGCTACCCGGACAACCCAACGACTCAGTTGCTGGGTACGGTCATGTGTATTCTTCGAGAAGCATCAGCATCTACTTGGCCAGTGACTGTAGGGGAGTGGGAGAGCGGCCGTATCAGTTGATAGATTAGGGTTGAGTCAGTGTTCGTTGTAGTTACCTTGGTTTTGTTAAAATTGTACGCGTGGGATATTTAGGCAGGGGTCTGAAAGGAGGCCAGCGCGGCGGGAACCGCACGGGCACATCGGCCGCCATCTATGGCCTCGAGGCGGCTGATGTGGGCGTGGCCTACTCGGGCGAGGGACGAGACGAAAGCAGGGGAGAGGAGATCGGGGCTCTTGGTGTCTGACTGCCGTCCGGTACGGACATCGAGCCCCCGACTGCTCTCTGCTGCTGGCTCACCTGGCTCGAGGTAGGTTCCTGTCACGCAGGGATTGATGCTGGGCTCAAAGCACATCCCATAGTTAGGATAGGAGCACCGGGGTGGAGGTTCGTAGGTAGTTTCGCGCGTCGGTAACCGTTAGGGTAGTGATAGGGTAGAAACTTGCGGAAACGGAAATAATCGGTCGCCTCGGATCCAATTCAATGCGCAGTCCTTTATGATGTTCGGTTTTACAATAAATGGGGTTTGAATTGACCAGATGCATTTGGAGATGGGTTGAGTCGGAGGAGAACGGAGGTTGAGCGGAGTCTGGTTCATTCGGTACTGTAGTTTAGTCATCACGGCTCAGGAGCTTAGCTCCAAACCCATGAGGGTACGCTACAAACCGCGTGTGCCCCAAAATGGCGGAGTTATTCACCTGAACCACGATGCATAGTTTAGCACATTTAGTTTAGAGGACAGTGGCCCGGGTGGCAGGCGGGTAAAAGGCTGGGAGACGTCCCGGCCGACCACTGATCCTGTAGAGTAGAGTAGAGATCCAGAGGGGAGGTAACGAAGGGCCTGCAGGACCGGCCTAAGCCCCCCTCACATAATGGTGCATCGGCCGGGAACGTTCTTTCAAGTGAAATTCGGCTGAACAACGTTTTTCTCCCGGTAGGTGTCAGGCACGCCATTAGGTACGTAAGTCTTAAACTGCATTATCTAGTGAAACGCCCTGCCCGTAAAGTCGCCGGAATCGCTTGTTAGTACGTGGTTTTGTAAATCTTAAACTGTTTAAACAAACGGCTAACAGTAAGTCTAAAAAACGTTTTTCATTCTTGCTGGTATGAGGATACGCCGCTAACGTAAGACTTAAACTGCATTTGGCGAAACGGCCTTCTGTAAATCCAGTGCGCTTGCTCAGTACGTGATTTTGTAAATCTTAAACTGTGTAAATCAGACGGCTGCAGCTGTTAGACGCCCCCACCGAATTGATCTTGAAAGAACGGTCGATTGAGGGCCATTCTAAATTTATTCAATTTACTCCGCTCAATATCCGAACTTCTGGGAACAAACGAGCCAAGCCAGCAGCCAAAATTGATAGGCAAAAGTTTGCGATGACTGCAATAAAAATAGCAACACTAAGAAAACCGAAATGCAGCTTGCGAGTTGCAAATATGCAGTGTGAATGAGCAAATACGATAAAGTTGACAATAGCCGTTTTTACGACGGCCATCGGGTACACATTTGGTTCACGAATCACGATTGGTCATAATTGAGGCAGATTAGATCAAATTAAGTTCAAGTTGTTTCTTCGTAGCTATCAGCTAAGGTAGCGCTAATTGATTTCGTGCCTTCTTTGTCATAAATTCCAAATATTAAATATATTTGCTGTAAAGGAGATGTGGTACAGATTTGGTTAGATATAAATGTTCATTCGCCAAAATGCCCGTCGTGGAAACGGCTAATAGGGTTGAGTGTGAAGTGCGAATGTGCAGGGTGACTGTCTGGAATTGAGGATGTGACGTGTGAGAGTTGAAATGTGGAGAATGCAACGGTGTGGGAGTAAGAGGGTAGAATGAGAGGTGAGATCGGATCAAAAATGAGAAATAGTCAGTCGGTTTGCTTGTGTGGTGATTGAAAGTGTGAGTGAAAGGTGCGAATGTATGTGTGTGAACTGAGTGAAAGAGGAGGATGCTTCTGTGATACGGTGAGGTGACTCTCTGAGAATTACGAGTGGACCGAAAGATTGAACGATTAATCTGACATAAGCGTTGCAGTGAAACGGGCGACACGACTCCCACTTGACGTTTACAAAAGTGTCCTTAATTAATCAGAGTCTGTTCAAAGTTGGAACCTTGTTATGTCTTGAAGTACCCACGACGTTAAGGATAAATTGCACAAAATATAGAGCTTCTACATTCATTTCTAGAGAGATGATCTTTCTTATAATTGACGCTTAGTTTACCGCGATTACCGTGATTTACAAAGATTTTCTCCCCGCACGATTTAGATATTGTTGGTTGTCAAAGATTAAAATTAAAATTAAAAATTCATAAAGGTTAGATCCCTCGGATGCTTGGGAAACATTAAAAATTAGATCTTCCCGCGGCCGGAGACAAACAAGTTTTGCTCCTGACACATGCCTTAATTGAAATACACTATGTAAATTCGCGTCTGGAGGAAAACGGTATAATCAAATGCTGTGTCGACCCTTCTTATCACAAAGAGCCGCGTCAGCCGGTTAACAGAGAACTGCGACCACAAAAACTCCCGAGACAGACGGGGTAAGAAGTGGTGACCTCCACATTTGTACTTTCACTCGCCACTTTTTGTACGGCTCTCGATGTCGTTTTTGCGGCTGGTAGGACGTTTTTTATCGAATCGGCCATGACATCAAGGTTTGCGTCACGACAATGAGAAAACTTCACTGTTACTGCCTTAGCGACAAATGAGGCACCAGCTACTGCGCAACGCGCACCCTTCAGCCATATTCGGTACTTGACTGTGTAACTCCATTGTCATGCGTGATGTTGCGTAACGTAGAGCATAGCTTACCGAATGTCAGGCGGCGTGCGCGTCAGGGGGCCGCAGCCGGCCGGTAAACAAAACTCAACAACAAAAAACCGCCCCAGACAGACGGGATGTGATGTGATGCTGTGACCTTCCAGCCGCTGGGGACACGGCCAGCAGGCCGTCCTCAACGTTGTTTTTGCGACCAGTAAAATGTTTAGGCGGGTCGGCCTTGGCTATTGGATATGCATCACGGCAGTGAGGATCAGATCCAACACGACTCGGTCTGACCCTGGACGTCACCTCCTGATCCGGACTCTCACGACAAGGACGGAACAGGCAAAAAGGCTAGACCAAGGTCATACACAAACCGAAACGGTCACCACCCACGGTCGACGCTCTCACCAGACGTGTGCGATTACCGAGATGAATCAGGCGATTGAAGAAGCTCACATTGGTGTTAGCCGGCTAAATTACGTCAAAACTAGAAAGCGCAGGCGGAATTAGGCATTCGGCATAATTGACATGTGCGAGAGGAACCGGTTGTGGGTGTACTGGCGAGTCGTATGTACCTAATCTTATTATGCCGCGTCATCATTTAACGTGGCGTCCAACCCGTTTAAATCGCTCATCTGTGTAGCTCGCTTACTGGAGGGCGCTGTCTCGACCCAAGGTCACCACAGCCACTGAGATGACAAGCACAGTGGGCCAAGGGCGGTGCACTCTAAACCCGAGCACGTTTGTGGCTGGCTTTATTTGAAATATTGGGAGAGGAGTCAGTGCACGACTATCCATTCGCGTTATAACTATATGCAAATAGGAATAACATACGGATACTTCCCCGAGCTCAGGCATTGTGATCTCGGCAGCCGATGCACATAAACAGAGATGTCATTCGAAACTTATGCGGCAAAAGGGAGTGCCTGTGACATAGAGAGGGAAAGGGTAAGTGAGATAGTGTGTGAGATAGAGAATGAGAGGGTGTATGTGTATGTGTGTGAGAGAGAGTGAGAGAGAGAGAGAGAGAGAAAGAGAGAGAGATGTGTAGATAGAGAGAGGAGGAGAAAGGGAGAACGGGAGAGAGAGAGAGAGGGAGAAAGAGAGAGAGAGCTGAGAGAGAGAGAGAGAGAGAGAGAGAGAGAGAGAGAGAGAGAGAGAGAGAGAGAGAGAGAGTGAGAGAGAGTGAGAGAGAGAGAGAGAGAGAGAGAGAGAGAGAGAGAGAGAGAGAGAGAGAGAGAGAGAGAGAGAGAGAGAGAGAGAGAGAGAGAGAGAGAGAGAGAGAGAGAAGCAAAATACCGATCATTGCGGCATCTAAAGACAATTTTTCCGAGGTCTGTCCATCCGGATGGTAAATGTTACTCCAACTGGCCGTCCAGCACCATGCGTAGAGATGCAGACCCCGGCCAAACCTCCCTGTCCTTGCAGGCAAGTCAAG